GATGAGTCACCTGCAGACGCTTGACATGAGTGATTGTAGCATTGAAGACTGCGATGTAAAATATATCGCTGAATCAGTTAGCTGCATGGAGAATCTGGTGAATTGTGATATCAACTACAATAGTTTCGCCCCAGTGTTGCGTGTACAGCCATGCAATAATGGCATACATGTGAGAATTACCGAGCTCTCACTTACCGGTGAGGATGTGGCTGATCTTTTACAGTCGTTTAGTAATCGGAGAGACTTAGTCAGTTTGACACTTCATGACATTGATGGTCTGGGTGGTTCCGCAAGTATCTGGACTCCACCCTTAAAACAACTGATGGAACTTCGGGAGTTAAATTTCAGTGTTTGCTCTCTGCAAAGCAATGACATTCAACCTCTTGGTGCAGCATTGAATCAAATGCCAAACCTTGCCAATCTAACGATTTCACAAAATTCTAGTTTGGGTGGTCACGCTGGTACGTGGCCATGGGTTGTTAGTTTGCAGTCGATGATTCACCTAAAGAACCTTGAAGTACGCGGTTGTAACTTTAACAGTCGCAATGTGAAATACATCGCTGAATCAATCAGCCGCATGGAGAATCTGGTGAGTTGTTATTTCAGGGGTTACAATGAGGAGGTGTGTGTAGAGCCATGCAATAATGGCATAAAACTGAGCATTAAGCAGATCTCACTGTCCGGCGAGGATATGGCGGATATTCTACAGGCACTCACTAATTGGAGAGATGTAGTCAGTTTGATCCTTTATGGCATGACAATTGATGGTCCAGGTGGTTTCCCAGGTATCTGGACGCCTCACTTAGAAAGCCTCACGGAACTTCGGGAGTTGGATTTATATCATTGCCCATTGCAACGCGCTGACATTGAACACCTTGTTCAAATACCAAACTTGACCAATCTTAAGGTATCATACAATACGGACTTGAGTGGTAACGCCAAAATTTGGGCAGCTAGCTTACAAAGGATGATTTATTTGGAGAAACTTTCTATGCGTTTCAGTAAGAGTAACATTCGCGATGTGAAATATATCGCCGAATCCGTCAGTCGCATGGAGAATCTGTTGGATTGTGTTATCAACTACAGTGGTTTCGAGCCGTTGCGTGTACAACAATGCGATGGTGGTATACAGCTACGGATGATTGGTTTATCATTAACTGGCGAGGATATGGCGGATATATTACAGTCATTCAGTAATCGGAAAGATTTAGTCAGCTTGATCCTTGACGGCATACCAATTAATCGTCAGGATGGTTCTGCGGGTATCTGGACCCCACCCTTGAAAAACAGAGCTTCGAGAGTTGGATTTAGGTCAATGCTTATTGCAAAGCACCGACATTAAACACCTTGTTCAAATACCAAATTTGACCAATCTTCAGCAAAGGTGTTCTGCTAAGGTGTTGGTTGTACAGCCATGCGATAATGGCATACGCCTTGGAATTCAACAGTTCTCACTAACCGGAGAGGATATGGCGGTTATATTACAATCATTCAGAAATCGAAGAAACTTAGTCAGTTTGACCCTTGATGGTATTGATGGTCTGGGTGGTTCTGCAGGTTTCTGGGCCCCACCCTTACGAAATGTGATAAAACTTCAGGAGTTAAATTTAAGATATTGCTCATTGCAATGCACTGACATTGAGATCCTTGGTGCAGCATTGAGTAAAATGCCAAATTTGGCAAATCTTAGGATTTCACATAATTCCACCTTGGGTGGTTACGCCGAAACGTGGGCGGCTAGTTTGCAGAGAATGATGCATCTAAAGAGCCTTGATATGAGTGCCTGTAGCATTAAAAGTCGCGATGTGAAATACATCGCTGAATCAGTGAGCCGCATGGGCAATCTGGTGAGTTGTTATTTCGGTTATTTCTCCGAGGGGCTAAGTGTGCACCCATGTCATAATGGCATACAACTGGGCATTAAGCAGTTCTCACTAACAGGCGAGGATATGGCAGATATTTTACAGTCACTAAGTAATCGAGGAGATTTAGTCAGATTGATCCTTGATGGCATTGATAATCTGGGAGGTTCCGCAGAGTTATGGACCGCACCCTTACGTAACCTAACGCACCTAAAGGAGTTTAGATTAACTCGTTGCTCACTGCAGAGCACTGACATTGAACACATTGCTACAACAGTAAGTCGAATGCCAACCGTAGAAATCCTCAGCCTTGAGGCAAATGAGTCTTTGAGAGGCTCTGCACAAACATGGGCAGACTGCCTGAAACATATGAAACATGTTAGTAGCCTGAAATTGGGTTATTGTTCATTGACAGAAGAAGATAAGAAACGCATAACCGAAGCATGGGATCCGAAAAGGGGACTTGATTTTGGGTCTTTCCGAGAGTATTGGATGCACAGTATATTGGAGCAGTATCAAGATATGTTGCCTTAGGATATAGCCGCTTCAAAAGTAAAGTAATGTCCAGAGTCACACCTTGGAGTTAGTCATCTAGTTGGAGTCAGTGTCACGGATACGAGTCACTTGAATCGATCCCTGGGCCAATTCACGAACCATCTGGATCGAGTCACGCTCCAAGTCACGAGTAAGGTATCGAGTCACACGTCATCTAGTTGGAGTCAGGGTCACGTAGACGGGTCACTTGAATCACGGACCATTTATTGAATCGATCAAACAAACCCAGGAAACGAAGCATTTTATCGGATCCAGTCATTTTGTACGAACGATGTGATTTTACATAATAGTTTAAACGCTCGGGGAAACAAGCTGAGAAATGACGCAATATTCACTCAAAATTAAAGCTACAGTTCATCATTTGTAACCTGTGTATTTTGTTCGTTTGAAGCAACAAAAGAGTTCAAAATCTAATGAAGGATACTGAGCAACTAACCTTATGAAGTTTCAGCTCAGCTTCAGCTGCACATTCCGAGAAAACAGCATTCAAAGATCTCAATTTCAAATCAAAAGTTACTGAATCATGTTTTGAATTGTTTTGAATTGCAGCTACACGCGACGTCGCGCACTGATCCGCCGAATTACAACAGCCGCGCGCGCGTGTGCGTCGTTCCAATACTTGTGCGCGCTGCGCTGATAACAAAACGAACTACTAATTTAAATTTTCCTACGTTCATTCATTCGTTAGACATAGGCATTTGCCCGTGGTCTCCTCCTAAAATTATACACAGTTGGGATTACTGGCGCCGCTCCCACCACAGCCCGTCTTTCCAGTGCTGCTGCTTTCAGTTCGTTGGTGTCACACCCAGACCATTCACGGATGTTGTCCACCCAGCGCATCTTAGGCCGGCCCAAGGAGCGACGACATCCCACTGGCATCCCATCCACAACAGCTGCCGCCATGCCGCCATGCCGAACCACATGGCCCAACCATGTTGCCTTTTGTTGCATCACAGTGCTACTGCTGAAGCACCACCGGTCGCCGATCATCTCCATCAGTCTTTCATTTGTCACATGATCTTGCCACTTTATGTTGAGCATGTGACGCCAAATGGTTCGGCCAAAACTGTCTAGGCGTTTGATGTCAGCTGCCTTCAACGACAGGTTGGTGGCACCATACAGTACCCTTGATATGACTAGGGCCCGAGCAAGCTGTACCTTTGCCTCGAGGTTGACGCGGGGGAGCGCAGATACTTGCACTGCCGAAGCGTGGATCTGCCCATACCTAACCGCATCCGAACATCCTTGCTGTCGTCTAGTGTGTGGTCGATCAACACTCCTAGATACTTGAAAGATGTGACAAGAGGTATTTGTGCCGAGCGGTATGTGATGGTGCTGTCATCGGTTGTTGGCTGGATGATCATATATGCAGTCTTACCAGGGTGGATGGCTAACCCATACCCGTCAGATATATCACCCAGGGTAGTAAGCATCTCTTCAGCATCAGCTCTGCACAGCGCCATCAGTACCAGGTCGTCAGCATATCTGATCTCCTTTAGGGGGATACCACTGACATCTGGAGCCGTTAGGTGTGCTGTGCGATTGTACCACTCTCGCATGAGACACTCCGTGTAGAGGCTGAAGAGTGTTGGTGACAATGGACAGCCTTGGCGTACTCCGTCTGGTGTCTCAAACTCGTCTGTCATTCGACCTTTCCACCGGAGCTTGCCATTTGAGTTGATGTAAAGATCCTCAAGTAGCCGCATCACATCCTCCTCCACGCCAAGATATCGTAGCTTTGCAAACAGAAGTGCATGATTAACTGAATCAAATGCCTTCTTATAGTCAACAAAGACCAGATGGAGAGGGCGTTTTCCTGCGTAGTGCGATTCCGCCACACCTTTCAGGAGGTAGATTCCATCAGTTGTGCCTTTACCGCTTACAAAGCCACATTGGGTGTCACTCACTTCGATGTTAGCGGTTCTTTCCAGTCTGCGTTGTATCACATTCAAAACAATTTTGCTGGCATGACTGATTAGTGCAAGTGTTCTGTAGTTGTTGCACAAGCCTCGGTCACTCTTTTTGTGCAACGGGATGAACACTGACTTGGTCATCGACTGTGGCCACTTCCCAGAGTTCCAGATGTTACACACGGCCCCACGAAAGGTTTTGAATATCTCTGGGTCCTGTGTCGCAGCTTTAAGAGCTTCAGATGTGACCCAATCAATTCTGGGAGCCTTGTGGTTTTTCAGTGCCTGTATGGCTTTCTTGGTCTCTTCCGGTGACGGCGGGTTTCGTCCAACCTCAGTTGTGTGATGGGGTGGACGTGGCCGATTGGACTCAAATAGATCTACAGCATACTGATGCCGACGCTGTATTTCTTCTTCAGCTGTCTCCAATACCAGACCGTTGGCATCTTTGCTGTTCACCACAGGCGTACATGTTTTCTGAAGGAGAACATCAGCAGTTTTGAACATAGCTCTGCAATTGTGATTCTAGTATGCTTGGTTCAATGTGTTGATATTAGTTACCAACCATTCGTTGAGATCTTTCTGGCATGCACGTTTGACCTCATTCCTCAGAGCTGTGAATTCTGGAGTGTTTAGAGCCTTCCTCTTGCGCTGAATCAGATGAAGAGTTAATTCAGACAGGTACGGCTGTTTCTTCTGGGATGTTTTGTGTACCACAGGTCTCGAGAGATACTTCGTGTATGACACATGCAACAGCTTCAAGAGAGTCACCTTGAGTAACACGGGATCGAACCAGCTGCCAAAAGACTTCAGACGATTGTTCCGATTTCAGGGCTTCAACGTTTGGATGTTGAGGTCGTTGTCCACGTGCAGTAGCATGGCGACGGAATTTCCACTTCAGGTTGCAGATTACTAACCGATGGTCAGTATCAAAGCAAGCACTGTAGGAACGGCAGTCAGTAAAGTGCTTCCTTGCTTCTGTGCTATTTAAGATGTGATCAATGGCGTTTCTTGCGTTTCTTGCCCTGCTGATCCAAGTAACCTTGTGAGAAGATCGGTTGGGGAACCAGGAGTGTGCGGCAGTGAGGTTGTTAACCATGCAGAAATCAACAAGTCTGTCCCCTCTTGAATTTCTGTCACCATAGCCATGGGGTCCCATGACAAGAGGGATGCGCTGGTTTCCAAGTTTGGCATTGAAGTCACCAGCCACAACAAGTGTGTCACAGTTCTTTTTGTTTGAATTGATCACATCTTGTGGTTGTGAGTAGAAGTTGTTGATAATGTCATCCGTTGCAGTGGATGTAGGTGCATAGACGGAGACAAACAGCAGGGAGCCTTTCCTCAGACGAAAGCGGGCAGCCATGATCCGATCAGAGATGTAGTAGACGGCAAGGCAGCTGTTTTTTGCCCGTTTTGACATCAGTATTCCCACACCTGCGTAGTGAGTTTCACCACCCGACATGATTATGTGTCCATTGCATGCTACTTCCTGACCGATGTTGTGAGTTTCGCTAAGAGCAATGACGTCATAGCGGTAGGCTTTTAAAGTGGCCATCAGATGTTCAGGTGTTAGGCTATAGTTCAGTGTGGTCACATTCCAGCATCCTAAGCTAAAGGTGCCCGTGCTTCGTTCTTCACGCAAACTCAACCGCGCACCGTCCAGTGAATGCCTTGAGTGCGAGGCGTCATTACAGCGTGGTTAGTAGAGAGCATGATCACCTTCATCCCCAGTAGCTTCAGACCCAGTTGGCGCGCTAGGGGTCCCCACGCTCAATAGGGTATCGCTGTGATTCTCAGTGTTGTGATTCATTTTTGGAGGTTTTGGTGAATGGATTCCGCTGGCGTGTCACCACTCCTCCACCAGCGTAGTGCATGGCCGCATGTTGCTTGCATCTATCCATGCGCCCTGTGGTTTGCACAACCAATTGCTGTTTGTACGCCTTTTCTGCTGTTGGCAGGTTGCATGATAACTTGCTCGTCCGCCAGATCTGCCGATCTACCAACACCTGCTGAGGTTAGATGTCCCTCAAGGGGGGCTTGGTGGAGTGAGGTTGGTTGACGAGCTCCTCCTGCCCGGGTTTGGAATCAGAGTTTTCCGTCTCTTAGGTGAGCTGCCTCCCACGGCTGATGAACCCCACCTGCCCAGAGTTATCTGGTTTTAAGGCGCCAGAGACCCGCCTTCACACCTCTGCCATCGGTTATGAACAGGGAACGGCGCATGAAGCCAAGCAGTAGGAGTTTGATTAGGAGAGGCCGTTTGAGACGCTGACCTTATGGGACATTTCAAGGGAGAGGAGTGGCTCATTTCTCCTCATCAACCCCGGTCAATCCTAACCCTTTGTTCCCTAAATTAATTCCTACGTTGCTTCTTAAGAATCACCGTTGGAAATGCCTTCTTTCGTTGATTACTTCAAAATGACAGCTTGTCAGAAAGAACAATTTCACAGGGAGTTTAGTTCCCTTACTATCTTTTAACCAAGTTTGTTTTTCAACAATAAATACGCCAGGTACTTTTCGGATGGCTGCAAATGATGGACTCTAGCTTTAAGCTACCCAATATCTTAGAATAATTAAAAGGTACATTTTACAAAATTCACGGCAAATTGACAAACTAATTTTTGTCAGTAACTTTAAAAATTGATCATGTTGTTACTACATGATCATAGCAAGGTTTAATTTCAGTCAAAATATGGAAGATCGTCATGCACGGGTGAAGCATTTTTTTTTCGATACGGAGTTTTTCAGTATTTAGTTTTGGAACTCAAGCAATCTGGTTGAAATGGAGGTGCTAGATTCGGGATGTGAAAGAATAGATCTCTCTCAATACATACAGACACATGGGGTGCATATCATTCCACACTTCAGAACTGTCCTCTGTTTCTAACAAAGAAAAGTTGACCCCTGATATTTGATTGGAAGGGGATCGTAAGCATTCCCCGCTCGCCTTTGTATACGGGTCCAATATTTTGTACCCGCTTCTCAGATTTAACATGAATATTCAACCCGCATCGATATTGTGACAAATTCATACCAGTGTAATTGCGAGTTTAGTCCAATGCATGTCCAGTGTAAATCTCATCGTGATAGAATCGAGGACAGCTTAATATCGGTTCTGATGCTTGCCAGAAATGTGAATCGTGAGTGTATCTTCCAAATAATTATAAAGACTGTAGATAAAAAAAGTTGCGGACATTCTCTTGAACATCGTACAATTTAGCACTAAGAACTACACAGCAAATTAAATATGATGGAGTGGAAAAATAATAAAGAGAAAAGATTTAATAAAAACAATGAAAATAGACTGCGGCTGTCTGAATGGGCAGAACCTTGTTGGTGAACAGCCTAACAGAAACACTTTCAGCTGAATAAATGTATATACATGTAGGGCCTATGTCTAATCACCGGGTTATGTCGTCGCTGAATTGTTGGAAGCCCGGTAAGATTTTGCTCAATATTTAGTATATAAGAATATTCATCCGTGGAACTTAAGAAATCCTTCTAACAATAATAGGATTGTAGATATAATACTTTGTTTCACATTCTATCTTTCACGACATCAAATTAAGCTATAAAAATTTCACAGCAAATGTAATATATTGGATTAAATTGAATAGGCTATAGATACAGTAACAGTGAAAGGAGACTGCAGCTGTTTGAACGGGCAAAGCCTCGTTAGTGAACAGCCTAATAATAGAAATAGTTTCAGCTGAATACATTTAATTGTCCCCAATCACCGGGTTATGTCACCGGTGAAAAAATTATTTTTGTAGGCCTGTAAGATTTGTTCAATGTGGAATATATGAGAATACTGTGGAACAATGAAAGAAAAGCATGCAAATCAGTTAGAAAGCTCAAGATTTACTTGAAAATGTGCCGTGTTTATAACATGTACATATTGTTTTCGAACTGAAAGTTTCAAAGTTTACATATTTAACGTTTGATAATGTGTCTTAACACTAGCTTATAGCCGTTTATTTTTGTGTATATGCGACCGATTTCAAATAACCGAGAAAAGTCTTACAGATTTAAGTTTTACATACCATGCAATGGGTGTATATATTTTATTGGACAGAGGCCACCCGATTAATACGGTCGGTCGTCAATGTATTATAAGTCAACTCTTATACAGTATGCCCATATTGCAGCTAGTCCTTTTGGTGCGCAAACTGCGCATGTCATGTTTACCTGTCACTTCACTTCGTACGCCCTATAAAGTTTTTTAGGTAGTGCTTTTGATGCACAAACTGTGCATGTCATGTACACCTAAGGCCACACGTCGTAAGTTATGTAACATAATAATATTGAATATTAAATACTGATGATACCACATTTCTTTTCTGAAGCAACTATTTTTTAAGTTTTACTTTTACTGGGAAAGTGACCTATTGTTTTTGTGTAAGTGCACATTATGTCACTGCGATTTATTGTTTTCATTTCAGAACAAGTCAGATTTTGTTGGGTGAACACCAGGTTTTGTTAGAAATCGATAATGAAGAGAAGATGACATTGATTATAAAGCTATAACAATATAAGAACTTTCTACAAAGATTTCAAGGGAGCTGTGTCAGGGTTCAAAGTTATTCTTTCTTGGAAGCTGATTAAAGCAAAACAATGTGTAAATATATCGCAATCTTTCTGTAAGCCTTGCTACTTTTACACATATTGAATTATTTGAACATGATATTATATGTATCATAATTATATCATGACTTGTATGATAGTGATCGTATTTTCATTCACACAAATTGTTAATATTTTTATCAATCGCTTAACTCCATTCATATTCAAAGTTATTAAGGGGACGAATGATGATGATAACTAAATTTAAGGCACAAACCACGCAAACGGTGAGTGATAATTGAAGAGTCAGTAGATCCTCCAAAATCACTGAGCAAGGTTAGATGGTGTGATACATGGGTAATACATGTAATTGTAACTGTTTTAAGTACGAAATACTGGGTTAGTTGAGTTTAAGTAATACATGAATTGACATGAAAACAATGGACGTTTACTGTTAACAGGTCTGATAAATTGTTGTCACTTTATTTTCAATGGTGGGAAATAATTGTTCTTTTTCACCCTTTATACGCGAATAGCAAAGTGAAAACCAGTGAATCCGGTTTACTGACAATCATCAGGTATAGTTGATTTTCATTTGATTACAAATGTGTCTTTTTATTTGTCACGCCGAGCTTTTCTCTCCCGAGAATCTGGGAGTTATTGTTACAACGGGTTTCTTTGTTTGTTTGATATATCATTTATAACAGACATCCGTTTGGGTTTCGAAATAAACTTTTAATAATACCCGTACCCACGTGTTCTCTTTTTTGTTGTATTTCTACTGTTACCAACGTTTAGTCGTCTTGCTTGTTTATACATTAGTTGGCTTTGAAATGGGGTGGTTGAGCTTTTAGTATTCGTCATGTCTAGTTATTATGATTAATAATCAATCTACAACAATCTTTCGTCACCCTTCATCCATATTCAGAGTTTGGTTTAACAACCGGTAACAGTCGTCTGCATCAGAGTGGAAACTTGATTGGACAGTCCGCGGTCACATGAACAACATTCCACATGTTAATACGCGTTATTTTTGGATAAGTCCCCCGGTAAATTCACAGAAAGTATTACTGATCACGACAATTATACTGACTATGAGAACGTGTAGTCTGTGCAACAAAACCCGGGTCAACGACTCCGTTCGGCTGCTACGGCAACGAGGTGACAAGGTAGACTGGTTTCCGCTCCGTTGGAGGTCAGAATCGTTGCTGGAGGGCTTGGGAACTAGTCTAATTGAAATGCCCATACAACCCACGAGCACTGTGACGTTGCCCCTATTGTTAAACTATTAGCATTACAACAGGTGAACTCTAACAGCGGTATGCGGAAATATTAAACTTGGCCCTTGCACTTATACCCGTCCAGGATTTCGTGGTTTCCATGCCTGTTTCTTCCCTCTTTCGATCTCCATCGTGCAGTCTTGATAAATGTGCTTCTTCTGAATGATGTAATTTGGATAAAGTCAACTCGCCAAGTCTGGTAGAGGTAGAATGGAGATGGAACTTTACAAGACATGATGAGGATTTGTCGTTACACAGTGAAGAGTGCAGTTTTGCCGTGAACCTGGCCGAAAGAGAGATAACAGGTAAAAGACATTAGGGGTACATCAGTTCCGGGGTGGGGTGGTGGTTGGGGCTAGATGGATGAGAAGACACTGGGCTTCTGAAGGGATCTTTCTGAAGTATTACTCGGACAGCTTCGAGTATACAATGATCATGAAATAACGGCACTGAAGGACAGACCCAATGTTAAATTTGTTGAATTACGTGCCGTTGGAAATGTACATGAAAATGGAAATGCAAACTTATGTTAATAGATGTATTTATATCGGTTTAACATAATGCCAATTTGCAAACGTTGAGTTTGTTTAGATTGACATACCGAGGAAGCCGAAAGGGTTGGGGATTGTGAAACTCCTAGATTAAAGTTTATGGTCATAATACGTAGTTATAAGAATAGAAATGGTTTCAGAAGAATATCTCTATAATAACTGAGCATATCAACTTCATTTTTTTTAAGTATAATGTTTAACCATTTAAGAGGGTATTCTGGTACTTTGGTTTTTTATGCTAATGTGAATGTTCATATTCAGGAACAAAATTGTAATGTCATTTCAGGTACAAAACTTACGGTAACAGCCATTTCGGCTCCAAAAGTTGCCACAATTTTTGAAATGTATTTTGATGTCATAATTTTTTTCTTTAGTGATTCATCGTTGTGTCAGTATAGTACATGGCAGTAAGCCAGTGACCAAACATTTCTCACAAACATTTTTAATAATCATTTTGTTGGTTTATAATTTCAAGAGAAAACCCTAAACTGGACATTGTCTTCCTAAAAAAAAATGACACCACAGTAATAGCGCCCTCAGTTGTATGGTAAAACAGGTACGGTTTTGATTGTTTGAAGAACTTACTTTTCAATAAAATTAACCAAAAGGAATGTTAAATACTTTTCATAAATTTAAAATGAGTAAAAGTTTGCACAAAATATGCTCCAGACCTAGCTACGATAAATTTACTTCATGGAGCCTTGAAACAATAGAAATGGTTCAACAGAATAATTTTAGAATAATTTGGCATATTTGTTTTGTATGTATTGGGGTTGGTCTTGGGCTTCCAAAGATATTGAGTTTTGACCCCTTGGTCTAATGTCAAGGTCATTATGGTTCAAACAATACAGATTCTTTGACCAAGACATCTCAGGAACTACCTTGCATAGCAACTCATTTTTTTCGCCTAAAGTGACAGAAAGTATTACTGATAAAGAATATTTCACTATTATGAGAGCTTGCAGTCTGTGCAACAATCGGGTCAACGAGTCTGTTGGACCGTAACGATCAGGAGGTGAAAAGGTAGACTGGTTCCCGCTCTGTTCGAAGTCATAATCGATGATGGAGGGCTCGGTAACCAGTCAAGTTGACAGGACGGTACAGCGCACGCGCACTGTGACGTCGCCCCCATTGTTAAAATATATTAATAGTAGTATTACATCAGGGGAATTCCAAAATCGGTATGCGGAAATATGGAACTGGGCGTAGTAGGGTACTACGTTGCACTTGCATCAGCGTATCATTCCAGGATTTCTTGACTTTTTCCACGACTGTTTCTTCCCTTCTTCGGTCTCGATCGTGAAGTCTTGATAATGTGGTTGCTCTGATTAATTTTACTTTGGAGCAGTTAACTCGCATGGAGATGGAAGTTTTACAAAACTTGATGAGGATTTGTCGTAACAAAGTGTAGAGTGCATGTTCACCCTGAAACTGAACCGAAAAAGAGATGACAGGTAAAAGTTATGAACGGCGGTATTTCAGTTCAGGGTTGGGGAGCACCTCGCTCTTAAAGAGGATTGTTTTCTCTGAATTATTACTTTGACAGCTCTGAGCATACAGTACTCGTGTGATAACGGCAGTAAAGGCCAAACCCAAATGCTGAATTTTCTGAATTATCTGTCCTTTGAAAAAGATGTACATGATATGATGTATTTTCCAAAATGCCGGTGTAGCGTGAATTTTGGTTTTGTGAAATACGGACTCATTTGTGGTATTGCGCGTGCTCACTCAAAAGCAGAGATAATTATTAGAGGGTCCGGTCACGTGAGAAGGATTAACCAATAAAAGAGAACAAGAGTCCGATTACTACACGAGTCCGATGCAAATTTTGAAATGAATGTGGGTAATTTGGTGGGTAAAATTTAATATTTGTTTTCTTTTGAAAGTGCGCTATATGATGTAAACAGTGAAGTTTCATTTCATTTTGAGTGGCACATTTCCCGGGACATGAGGGCTGGATGACACTCTTTTGTGTGTGATCCCAGAAGTCATAGATTTGAGAGTCAGTGGGTCGGTGGAGTAAAAACTACCATTTGCTTTTACTACCAATTTGTATACATTTACTTGCATATGTGTGGATAAAAATTAAGCAAAGGCTTTTACTGAAAAGCATGAATTAAATGGAGTGAGTGCTTCAGACGGCAATAAGGAACTGAACGAAATGACATAAACGTCCACTTTATTCAGTGATACAATACAAAAAAAAAATTCAACATCACATTTTGTGTATGACGAGCTGAAATATATTTCTGGGTGAACAAATATAGGCAAGTGTAACTTCATGTACACTGTTTTAAGAAAGTACATTCTGCATTCTGTAAATAGTGAAAATATATCATTTGAGTTACACCTTGTTGATGTGGGCTCAGTTGTTTACCCCACATGTAGAGCCTGTGTGTGCGTATTCATTCACACCCACAATAGACCCTATTGTTGACAACCATTTGTCTATGCAATCTACCCAATAAGTTAGCATTTGAACCTGCTATCTGGATGCTGAACAGCAAAAGAAATTGTACTCATATGTAAATGCTTCTCATAGGCGTAGCCAGCGGGGAGGGGGGGGGTATTTACCCCCCAATATTTTGGAAAGACTGCCTTTTTCCATTCAAATGCCCTTTTTTTGACGGGCTTACCCCCAATAATTTGTATAGAGTGCCTTTTTTTACAAAGTGCCCTTTTTCTGAACAAGTGCCCTTTTAAAAAAGAAATGGTGCCCTTTTTGTGGCATCTGCCGTTTTGAGTGCCTAATTCTGAATTTTGCACATATCGCCCTTAAAACACCACATTATGGCCCTTTGTGTGCAGAAACGTCGGTTTTGAACAGCGCTCCCATCGACAGATGGTCCATTACAGTTCCATCACAAGTCCATCCCAAGTCCATCACAAGTCCAACACATTTCTATCACAAGTCCATCCTAAATCGATTGCAATTCCATCCAAAGTCCATCACAAGTCTATCACAATTCCATCCTAAGTCCATGACAAGTCCATCCCATTTCCATCCCAAGTCCATCACAAAACTATCACAAGTCCATCACACGTCCACCACAAGTCCATCCTAAATCCGTCCTAAGTCCATATCAAGTCAATCCTAAGTCCATCACAAGTCCATCCTTAGTCCATCACAAGTCCATCACAAGTCAATCACAAGTCCATCACAAGTCCATCCCATTTCCATCCAAAGTCTATCACAAGTCCACCACAAGTCCATCATAAGTCCCTCATATTCAGTCCATCATAAGTCTATCAGAAGTCCATTACAAGTCCATCAAAAGTGCATCACCAGTCCATCACAAGCCCTGCAGTCTCAAGTCAACTCATTTGCTCGAAAAAGTCGCAAGCATGCTGTATATATGTAGTGTCATCTACGTGCTGGGACGTGATTGAATTGCCCACTGAACACAAATTTAAAGATGGTGGTATCAGTGAATTGGCTTATGTCCAGCAATTTAAAAAAGGTGGATAGCATTGCTCCAGTTTTAACAGTGATCTTTTTTTTATGTTCTTTCAGTAAGGATACCTTAACTGGTGCTGATTACTACCAAGATGCCGCGAAAGACCGTTCAGCAGTTGGATGCATACATTAAGGCAACAGCCGTCGTGTACGACCACTCCAACGCCAAACTCATCAGCAGGAAGACTAAAGTCAAACCAAGGAGGAAACAAGCTTTCCTGTCTGTACTGCATTACAGGAAAACGTCTTCTGATGATTGCTGTGCAAAGAGGAGACCATCAAAACGATGGATTCGAAGACAATCAAAGCAGACACATGCAAGTCAGAGGTAAACAGCAATGACATTATTCATGTAAAATGAGGGTTATATGATAATTGTAACTTATCGAAGGATTTGTTGAATCATTTACTCTTTCCAGATTCTGGTGTAAAAGTTAAGCAAACGTGTTCAATACGTTTACTAGACTCATGACAGTGGATCCTTTGACTAAAGTTTCCAAGTGAATTGTTCACAGATCCCGTTCTTTGTTAGAATAATGCATTTCTAAAACTAGGTAAGATTTCATCCTATTTTCACAGTAATACCAAAGACGTAAAACAGAAACTGCAGGTCTTTGTCCGGACTCCCTCCTCACTTAGACCCAAGACACTTTATTTCGAACTCCACCCCGAAACATCCGTCTCATCTCTGAAAGAGGTAATCCAGAAGAAGACCGGTGTGGAGGCACGACATCAGCGTCTGTACATCAGGGAAAACGTCCAGGTAGGTATACTGTTATTAATAATACCAATACGGCTACTCCGTTCAATTTGAATTATCCAGACCTAGATTGTCACATTGTAGGAGTTTTTGAAAAATGGTAATATAAAATGCAAAATCTTACGTTTTCCCGTTTTAGGCCTAATCAATAATTTGTTTATTTATATGAGACACTCAGAATCCATTTATTCCGACCAAGGTTTAAACGAACGTAATTTGCTAGATGTTTGAACAACGCACAACTAAAATCCTCTCTGTTTTTGTCCTGATCAGGTAATTAATTTTTTTTCATATATACATGTAATTCACTTTAATTTGACAGCTTTGTGACTTGCTCACACTTGAGGAGAATGGCATCGACAAGGATAAAATCATCTCTCTCCGGCTGTCAGTAGAAGACGCAAATGATGACAATGTACCAAAAGGTAAATGATAGAGTTTAGGGAAGAAATGTTTATTTAAATAAACAATCTAAATTCGTTGAATATTGGTTGAAATATTAACAACCGAAATTCCATGTCTATTCAACGTCGGTTTTTTAACGTTGTTCTAACGTACAGATTTCGACATAAGAACCTGACAATGAATAATAGTTTGAATTGCGTCACGAAATTATCAACCTAAATTCCATGAAGATCCATCGTCAGTTTTGTAATGTTGTTCCAACGTATTTTGACGCTAGATAAATGTTTAAAATTGGGCCGAGATAACAACCTAAATTCACCAACGTCGGTTTGGTAACGAGTCTATTTTTTTGTAAAAGGCCTAGGTGTCGTTGGTAACTTATACCGTGGTGGACGCATTTGAAAATGTTTCACTGAAGTTAAAATGTTTTAACAGACAAAGCCAACATTGATGATGAGTACCTAAAGGACTTGTCATCAAAAATCGAATCATCATGGAAGGAATTGGCCAAGCACCTAGGATTTGAAGAAGCGGAAATTGCAGGCATCCAAACCACCTACGAAGGCAGCAATGAAGAGAGCCGTCACATGCTACTCACTTGGTGGGAAAAGACGACAGATCGCAACGAAGCAGCTCAGAAGCTGAGACGAGCATTGGAGGCCATCGGGTTGTCGGATTTGGCTCGAAATGTACTAGGTGAGCTAAAATATGAACAAGCAGATTTCGTATGAATGGGAGGTTGCCGGTAACACCATTTGAATATTTCTTGTGATTTTTGTGGTTCAAAGAAGAACCAGATTTACATTCATATTTATGTTCAAATATTGCTATGGTACCCTATGTGAAACTATGGTGAAACAATCGTCAAAAATATGTTGCACTCTAATTTTGTTTTCCTTCTTGCATCAGTAACGAGTGAATCGAGGGACGAAGCATCTGGACCCGAGCCAGAAAGGCGTCAAGATGCAGGAGTTGACGAGGAGAGCAAACAAAACGGGGCGGCATCAACCGAGGAAGAAAAACCGAAAAAGAAACAAGTGTGTCATCAAGACAAGCCTCAGATTATGTGGTAAAACATGATTAAACGCGGCTATTCGTACTCCTTTTGAAAACAATTATCTTTCCTTACTTTGAAAAAATAGTTTCAAGAACAATTGAACTTTCCATCATTTATTTGAAAATGTATGTTCAAAGTATTTATATGGCGTTATAATGCAAGTCCACCATTCTAACAGTTTCAGATATGTGGCACTGCAGGTCTTCATCAGAAGTCACATGTCACATAGACCAACGACAATGTGTTTACAAATGGATCCAGAGACATCTGTCTCGACTCTAAAACAGATAATTTGCGAGAAAATCGGTGTCCGGCCTCAACATCAGCGACTGTACATCCGTAGAAACTTTCGAAACTTTGAGGTAAAGAAGGCTCATACAAAGTAACTATGTTGTTAAGTACCAATTAACATTACATCTAATAAAAGGCCATGCATTGTGGGTTTTAGTGGCAACCTCTTCTAATTCACATTACATGACGTGGGTACAGATAATTCTGCTTCTGAAGTCGGTACAATATGGAGATTAGGCACTGAAGATTGTACGCACTGAAGGAAAAAACCGATAAACCATTATGAAAATTAATAATTTTGGTTTTAGCCCTACCAATCAAGTCTCACGATAAAAATGCACCATGGAGAAAAGTTAAATTCATGTTTAATTGTTTTTTTTTACACTGTTGTGTAACCTAATCCCCAAACTGTCGTCGTTAAATCTTCGCTCTAAGAGTGTGTGTTATATCAGGATCTTAATTTCTTTGCCAGCTCCATAACTTGCTGACACTTCAGGACTGTGGAATTCATCAGGACGAGAACATCTCACTCCGTCTGTGTACTGATGGCTTACTGGGCGGTGGACCAAAAGGTAAATGCATATGGGTAACGTTATCATCCAGGATATAATCAGCGTAACTTACCTCATTAAAGTCATGAAAAACAGTTAGGCCGCCTTGAAAGTGCCGTTGTTAAAACATTCATGATCGGTGGTTTAGTTTTTGTTTAGCTTCTTAAGGACTCTCGGAGGTTGGCATCAGTTGTTCAAGAGAAATCTAAATTAATTGCACTCATTATCAACCGCTGTATGGTTCGTACCGCAAACAAAACTATGAATGAATGTGTATCAATTTTTTTTTAAACAAGTCAACTTTACCGAAAAAAAACACAATATGATTAATTCAGTATACAAAGCAGATAAAAGCATGGATGTCTAAGTTGTTTTCCTTCTCTTTGATTTAAATTTAAAAAAATCGGTCCCAAAGAGGTAGCTATCACCTTGTACTGACGAAAATGTTTCAAACACCCTGTTGATGATCAGTTTTTTTTTAGACTTGGCTCCGAAAAATGAATCATCTTGGGAGGCCCTGGCCAAATTCCTGGGATATGAAGAAACCACCAAAAACATATTTCCAATCGGATAAATATTTATTGAGTTATGGCCAATGGAATACAAGAGTGCAGGTTTGTCGTTTTGTCCTTGGCAACTGATATTTTGACCGCGGCAATATGAACACGGTCCGAAACTTGCATCCGTGGAAAAGGCTACACCGAAGAAGTTAACATACCAGTCCTTTTCAGGACTACCATTACCGCGGCTTATATTCCGAAAATTGCGGTACGTCCAAAAGGATAAATGACCATTCTTACAAAAAAAAGAGAAACAAATAAAGAAATACAGATTAAAACATTAAAGAAAGAAAAACTACCCTTACCCCAAATCCAATTTCTAATCAATGACAATTATTGAGACCGTGGACAGATAGAAAAGTCGGCACTTATTTTGAATTGGCCATAACTCAATAATTATTTACCCGATTGGAAAAGCTTTTTTTCGGTGTTGAAATGCTAATGAAATATACACTGAAAAAAAAAAATTGCCTGGGTTATTTTTTACCCATGCAAGGGTGAAAACTGCAACTACTTAAAATTGGGTTACGCTTTACCCAATTGTTTAAGTTATAATTTCGGCTTGTGGCTATACAAGACCAAATTAAATTTGGTCATTCTTGTATGACCACAAGTTTTGGTTGAATTTAACAGATACAGATATTTGCGATGTATTTTTTTAAAAGCTGTGAAAAAGAGGGAGCTTTGGGGTTCGGTTTTGTGGTTATCGCGTATCAAACCATGCAACGTCTAGCCCATATATGAGCGAGTCGGCAAGGGGGTGAGTTTGTAAAGGGAAAGTCATTCAGGGGCGAGTTGTCCTACAATTTTGCTAATTGACTTTACTTTAAATATTTGAAGCAGCCTTTTTCTTATAAATAAATAAATGGCATATTTTCGATATCTCAGGAAAAAGTTGATAGTAAAAGTAAACATATCATTTTTCATCGCTAGAAAAATAGAAATTCGAAAATAAACTTCATCAAACTAGAATATCTATTAAAGTAGAGAATATGACCGCCATGACACCTAAAAAAAGGATACATAAAGTGTACCACGAACTGATCATATGAGGTGAAAACTAACGATCGAAGAATAGTTCCATTTGAAAATGAGTTACAATGCAGTGCCAAAACATAGAGATAAAGAACAACCATCTAAAAGTAAGCTTTGTGACTCTTATTTTACTATCCATATCTCTTGTTATACAGTTGGAACGTAATAACCTGTTTATCTTTGGAGATATTCATATACTCGCAGTCGTTCCCAATGTATACATTCTAACAACAATAATTATCACATGTATGCGCTTTATTCATGCTGCAATGACATTTGTATTCATTTTTAGATGCACCGCCTGACAGCAAATCCATTTTGAGTCTTTCTGTAGACATTGGAACAGACTGGGAAAAATTGGCCATAAACTTGAACTTTTCTGAAGGAGTTCTTAATACAATTAGGAGTAATCGTCCCAACAACACTGAAATGCAGTGCTTTGAAATGTTAAACAAATGGTGGAACAAGCAGAAAAATTACCCAGAAGCATGGAAGACGTTGGAGAAGGCTCTGGTTGATTCGGGCAGGCAAGACTTGGCTCTGCGCTTATCAGGTATGCTTAGTAACTGGAGAAAGTTTAGCAAATCGTACATTTACATTTCAAAACAAGGTGATCCGCGGATTGCACGTGTCGCCTTTTCCGCGGTCGATCCCCATTATGCCTCGAGTTCTTATTCTTGCAGATGCTGTTAATTTTCATTTGAAGAAATGATTGGCTCCTGAAAAGTATTGTTTCTATGAAACAGTAGCACTTTCCATTTTTTCCATTACGAGTTATGACATCAATTGACCACTGGATGACCTTTGACACCACAACGTCAAACCAACTCAGCAGCCCTAAGTCTTTATTCTCAGCAACTATAGTGAACACCCATTAAATGTTGTAACAAAAACATTTTGTGTATTTAAACAACGACTCAAATGACCCCTAGGTGATCTTTGACCTCCAATTTCTGAAGAGTTGTCATGAATCCAAACCCAAGGCAAGCGCGGTTCTACAGGGGGGGGGGGGGGGGGGGATAGGGAGGCTGTAGCCCCCCAACTTTTTGTCTAGCCCCCCCCCCCCCCCAAAAAAAAGAATTCCGTAAACAAAATTGCATTAGGAAAAAGAAGGATTGTAATTTACATGCGAACGGTCTCCCCCTAAAGAAGAAATAGCCGTGACAAGGGTGCATTAGTTAATATAGTGTGAATGGTTTTAGGATTTTATTGGCGCTCTCCATTGAAAATATGGCATGAGCCCCCTCCCCCTACCTATTGATTTTCGGAGACCCAAGTGTCTGAAAAAAATAACCGGTCTACATTTCAGCACGCCTCCCTGAAAAAAATTCTGGATCCACAAGGCTAGCCCCTCCCCCCCCCCCCAAAAAAAATATTGGTTCTAGAACCGCGCCTGACCCAAGGACAACACCATATCCATCAAATTATGTAGCCAAAATGACTTTTTACCATATTTGAACAATTACCTCTAACGACACCTACACGACCTTTGACCCCAGTAATACAATGAAGAATTGTGTCTTCCTAGGTTGGGGCTGTGTCCGAATCAACTGACTGCGGCTGGAAGTAACACACGTCTATGGGTGGTGCCTATAGCCACAAGCCAGTGGCTTCCATAGGCTCACGTATTACTTACAGCCGCAGCCACACTTTCGGACACGACCTAAGTTTCAAGTTGCAACAAAGACCATGAAGGCATGTAGAGGTGATACATTGTTTTTTTTCTCCAAAACTTAATCTAAACTTAAACATACATGTACATACAGAGACACAGTCATACGGGGATTCAGGGATACATAATTTGGGACCGACGAAGTGTCCCTAAATCTTCGTTTAGGCGACACTCTATAATGACTGACATAAAAATATAATATAGTACTTGAATACAAATAAACGCGGAACGCGCAACATCTGAGACAAACAAAACTTAGCGTACAAAAACTCCATTGGGTTGTCTACTAACTTGCAAACGGCGAAAGGTTAATTAACGGAAATGCCCACTTTGCCCAGGTTCAGTAGCAGCGCCATGTAAGAATATTAACAATGGGCAATTTTAACACCCCTTATGTAGGCTATGGCAAATTAAATCAAAATTTACAGAACTTCCTACTTTGTCCGGGTTCGGTATAACAGTGCAACGAAGGAGTATTAACAATGGGCAGTTTGGCTGTTTGGCATGGGCACAGTATGATTCTGTGTAAATGTTCGCAAGACAATCATCAAAGTTCCCACATTGCCCAGCCGGACAAAGTGGGAATTCCAACTTTGCGCGGATTTTCAATTGCCCGCGATACAAGTCCGCTTCACAGTTGTTACAACTGATAATGTAGTAACCAACCGATAACGTATCACCAACCGATAATGTATCACATATTGACCGATATTGTATCACTAACCGATAATGTACCAAAAATTGACTGATAGTGTAGTAAAATTTGTATCCGATAATGTATCATGTGTCGACGGATAATGTAACTACAAAATAAGTGTATCCGATAATGTATCACCACGGAACGGATACTGTATCAACCGATATTGTATCAAAAATCAACTGATAATGTATCAGTATGGGGAAAAGG